ATATATACACACGCATTACCTCAACAAAGCAATCGTGGAACAGCAAACGAAGGAGAGCAGCGGCAAGTTTCGGGTCATTGAAGAATTCTCTAGAAACTTCTTGCTCCACAATTTTCTCAACGTCCTCCTCTTTAAAAGAAGTCCGACCAAAAAAATCCAAATCATTATTGCTTATACATTTTCCCCTGTAGAATCCCTGCTGCAATTGGCCATAGCATTGCCCTCCCAGGCTCAGAAGCACAAGACATGATAAAGCCACGGCAATAACTAATGATTTTCCTCTACACATTTCCATTTTTTTTTTAACTTCTTATATACTATATATATATATATATATGTACTTTAAAACCAATATGTATTGGTATGATACTTAGTGAGGTGTAAATATGGATCAAAGCAAAAATTCTGGTTTCCCTTTTATAGGGGAACTCAGAAGGAGATAATATTGAGATTAATTAAAAACGTGAAGAATTTTCTAATTTCATTAAGTTTTATGCTTTGCACGATTTGATAATTAGGACGAATTATAGCTAGCTAGACTGCAGAGACGTGCAATCGTGCAAGACATTTCTTTATTATGACATAATTTATAGAACATCATGTGATTATAATCGTATAAAAAATAATATATGGTTCAAGGAACTGACCAATTGATAAGGTTCCAATTGTCTGATGAGCTGGTTAATTATAAATTATTCTTGGTTTATATTAGTTGTTGAGATTTGATCTTGCCGGAAATTATTCTTGGTTTATATATTGATTTTCTCCTTCCATAATTTTCTTTTTTGTTTTTTTTTTTTTTTTCAAATAGCTTGGTGAGAAGAAGCCGCTAGAATGGACAAACATTTTTATTCTAATATATATGTATATATATAGACGCGTTTTTAATAGTTACGTTCTCATCCGTAATTGTGTGAATAAATGTGATATGTATAAATATATTAGGTTTCCAAATTATGATCAGGAGCGAACTTTATTTATGAATTAAGAGATAAATGAAGACAAATGCCGACCAAGGCTAGCCTGTATATTTGGCTTGGGGCAAAGCAGTAATGTGGATATTTTTCTCTCTATATATCTTCAACTTCAATGTTTACAAAAATAAAAATAAAAATTTTATAAAATCAAGGGTTAGTTACATAATTGCCATTGAACTTTACCCCTAATCTCAATTTCATCCTGACTTTTAAAACGTCCCCAACTTAACCCTAAACTATCAGTGTGTTTTAGTTTGGGTTTTTACTTCAGTTGGATGCTATATCAATGACATTCTATTAACAAAGGCCGGGGTGTTATTTTTCATCCAGATCACGTACACATTTTTAATTGTATCAGCAATTTTGCCTTCTATCAGCACCATGTGTATATTTTGTCCTCTTTTCAAGAAAGGACTAAAACTGAAACAAACTGATAGATTAAGAACAATGCGGGGAGCTAGCTAGTTTTGGGAAGCGTGCCAGGCGCATCACTGCTCTTTTGAGGTCGCGTCCTTAGTGGTGTGACACATTTGATGTTATCAAAAGTGTTGCATTGGGCGGTCGCATGTGGCGCAGATGCATTGGTTTGGCAATGCGACAAGAGTGCCTCTCCTCTCATTCTTTTTATCTTTAATTAAAAGTAAAGATAAAAATTTTAGAATCCGTTTAGTTCGCTAATTCGAATTTTTAATTCAAATTGAAATGTAACTTTATATTATAACTTTTTACTGTAGTAAAAAAGTTAAATATGACTGTTTCTGAGAGTTTTTCACTGTAACAAAACTCGAATCGGTGAAATGAACAGGACCTAAAACTCATATTTTAAAGGGTATTTATCTCCTTTTCTTTTTAGTTAAGGACTTGACCTTTGAAGCCATATATAGGACGACCCAAAAAAACCAGAAACAAATAAAAGAACACATCACCTGGTTCATAAAATCATATCCCTTTGCCTATATTATTCAGTAATGTATTTACAATAACGATGTTTTTTTTCTTTTTTTTCTTGTGCAGTAAGAATTACGTTTACTGAACAGAATAAATTTAGTGTTCTAAAATAAATAACAAATCTAAAGGGCTATTACTTTTCCTCGAAGAAAAAAATGGAAAAGACAAATATGGTGAAATTAGTGCTTTTCCATTGCAAAGTTACTTCCCAAATACAGGAGATGAACTTGAATGGCTTTGAATATTCCAGACTCCAAAACTTCATAACCAACGACGAAAAAGACCGTCGATCCAGTATCTTTGGAACGGGAAAACACCGTACAGACATGGAAATTGCATGAATTAGTGGCCTGGGGCATAAGCTGATCATGAAGCAAGATTGCTTAGGCCAAAGTAAAGAGTTCTTTGTTGGAATGCATTAATGGCGTAATCAACTTGAAAATGGCCAAACTGTGATTTAAGACGGAGGCCATAACCGAGCCCGAATCCCGATCCTGGTTTCCCCTGCCTCAAGGCTGGATTTCCTGAAATTCCAAAGTTGAAAATTGGAGTCTAACGACAGAACTAAGACAGAAAAAGAATCAAGAGACAGCCACCAAAATACTAGCTATCAAGAGACGGCCACCAAAATACTAGCAGTAAAAGTGGATTGACCATTTAAATTTATGGAACACAAAAGAACACATTCGCTAGTATAATAGATCACAACTGAACAAATTTCAGCATAATTGCACAAATATAAAATCAAATCATTTAAAAAAAAAAAGGCCATAACTAACAACCAAATGTTTCCTCCAATCATTTGAAACTGATTGTTTTTAGGTTTCTTGTTCTTTTGATCATTATGCTTTAGGAGAACTCCTTGTCCTCTGTTTGTACTTTGTTCTATTAATGAAGTATGTTGCTTCTTATAATAATAATAATAATAATAATAATAATAATAATAATAATTTAATAACTCTATTGGATTAATAGTCAATAGATAACTGCTAAATCAACACAGCCGTAAGACTTGCCAAAAATCTTGCGTCTCATAAAAGAGAATGGTGCCGATCGTATTTTTCCAGTGCTGCCCACCAAAACTAATAAAAGGTAGGCCCCACTTGTGAAACCTATCTCGTGAGACAGAAGGGTTGGATACAAGTGGTGCCCTTAGTATTGTTCTATTTTTCTGTCCTTCCAAATCGTCTTCCTCCATAAATACTTGCAAAGGAAGAAAAAGGACTCTGATTTAATAGTCCACTTACACCAAGACTTATAGTATATTCTTGGAACGTCAAGGATTGTACCAACCATCCCTCTTCCATCAAACAAAGACCCTTTGGTCGCCAAAGAAACTTTTCAGTATGACCAGTGAGCTACATATCTCTTGTTTATTCACTTGGTATTATTATCTCAAAAGGTCGTGTTTTGCAGCAAAAGAATTAGTAACATCACCGTAAAATTTCAGTTTTGCGGCGATTAGTTAAGACCAACATAATCTTTAAAAAGTAACTTATCATAATTCATACCGTCTCTTGCCTTCTACCTCTGGCAATGCTCATGGGTTTTATCTTCCATTGATCCTGAATTCTATATTTCTGGCAGTCGATTCCATCTCTTCTCCAGTTTTCCTATATCTTGCAGCTAAAATGTGATAGGATTTTATCAGTTTTTAGTTATCAATATAATAAGTGGTTAGTGGTTTGTTATTGGAGTTAGTTTGTTATGTTTGTTAAGCCATACTGGTTTGCTATTGGAGTTGGTTTGTTATGTTTGTTAAGCTAGTTAGTAGTAGTATATAAGCAACATAAAGAGACTAGGGGAGGGAGGCAGAAAATTAAGTGTTTGGTTAGAGTTTGCTCTATTGGGAGAGAGATAGGCCTCTCGAAAGTCTATCAACCATTGTAGTTTCTCTATTTTCTCTATTATTTCAGTCAAATCTATTGAGGTTCTTTTCAGCATGTCACTTACATCAGCAACCACTAATGTCACATGACTTTCCACGCATGATGTTGGACCGATGTTGCACACAAGGGGAATGTTAGAATCCAAGATATAATAATATTAGCCCCCTGGCTTTCAAATTAACCATCAAAATCCAAGTTGGCCTCAAAGTAGATCTCATGGTTCACTTATCCTGAAAAGTTAACAGTCGTCCATGATAGAGCACAAGAAAATCTTAAGTTTCCGACCAACATGAAGCCACCATCTAGGCATCTATTGCCCCTCTCATCTTTACAGCTCAGTTGAACGTTTGCTCTCCGATGACAACTATTTGCAGAATAATCTGGATCTATTTTGTATTGCTTTGAAGTTCAAAAGCAAATAAACTAACGATCCTATAGATTATTTATGGCCTCCGGCATTTGGATCCTCCAACACAAGAAGCTCAATCTAGGAAGGGGTTTTGTTTTATCTTTATGAATGTCATTAATCCTAATGAAGATCCTATAGAGATCAATGTAATGATAGGTTCCTTTTCCAACTAACACAAACATAATTTCTGATGAAATTTGTCAGTATTACAATATTCATGAATCCAAGTTGCCACCAGTTTCGCATTCGTGAAAGGTCTACCACATAACGTACAAGAGGTAATTCAAGAACAATGGGAAGCAGATAAACTCCCTCTGTTCCCTCTTTCTTCTATGGTTGATCAACTTTTCAAATTTAAATATAAGCAACCTGAATTCTCTTTTTCCTGACAGGTATGGATAACGTTTAGCATTTATGGTTATTTAGGATTTCCTTGTTGGACACAACCGTAAATGTTTTTATTTAATTTTATTTTTTACAGTAATTTCATGAAACTCAAGGGAATTTTCTTACCATTTTACAAAAAATCCTCACTCCATCCAGTCTCAACAATATATAGTAGCACTCTCAGCATTGGATCGTATTCAAATTAAAAGTTCAAAAAGCTAATTAACAATTGACCTTATATCACGACATTTTATACAAGGGAAAAGCAGTCCAATATATTATCTGACTGAAAAGAAAAGGAAACGCACCAGGTACAAGATGACCAGACCCCAAGTCGGTTCCACAGTCCAAGAAAACAGCACCTTCCAACATTTTGCTCTAAACACAAAATAGCAATCCTGTTAGGCTAAGTACTAGCACAGTTCATAGCGGATAGCAGGAAAACCAAAAGTTTCAAATTCAAATAATATTGGATAGTGTTTCTATAGCAGAAACACACTAGCTTTAAAAGTGAAAGTATTATCAACATAAAAAGAAAATGGATCATACGCTCTTTTGTTCTTCAGACATGCAAGTATACAACTACCTATCTTTGGTGGTCAGAAACAATGAGTTCTATGTGTTGGGGCATACAAAAATCAGATGTACAGACATTCCTTCATTTCTATATTACACACGAATCAGCAATAACTGTGTTCTGCGGAGTTAAATAGTGGTTCAGTTTTACATATATCAAACACAGGAATTGCTATACTTAAGCCTACGCATCTTGGGCATACCAGAATTTCAGCAAACTGTCAGGGTTACATGGAAAAAGCATACATAGAAGTGCAACACTTATCCTTCAGACGCTCTTAGAATATCAAATATCAACTGATGCAAAATAAGGTAAATCTTAATCTAACATACCACAGGAAATGTCAATTCACTATTAGCAACAAGACAAGATCTCCCAGATCCAACTGCACCCTCACCATAGCCTCGCACACTACCAAGACCCCCAATTGCAAATGCTTGGTAAGGAGCCATGTCCCCCACAATGGAACCGCCCGTCATCCTGACAGAGAAAAAGGTAAAAATGACGTGAATAGGAACTGGATTATATTACTTATTAGAAGATCAAAGAAAAATATTATGTGCATTTGACTTCCAAAGTGGAGAGTGTGAAGATTCTACAGATTGTTCCGTGTCATGATTCAAGCACAGTATTGTGCCTCGCAAATGCCAGACCAATTCAGCTCTATTTCTTTTAATTCATACAGATTGTTGTTTCTTGTTTCTTGTTGCTTCATGTGCTCTGCTGATGTAACTTGCATCCCAGCTTCCCATATTTTTACAATACCAATTTCGTACTTTATGCGTCCAGTTCTCTCCATTAGCTACAGGATAACTAACAACAAAACAAACGCTGCTTACTTTGTCAAGAGAAATGCTGGCCCAACTTTGACTCCCTTTGACGCAACAAACTTAAACCGGTTGAATATTAGCCACTTGGATAGAACTGGAACCCCTTGCTCTATTTGTAGACTAAACTGTACATAACACAAGCTTTCAATTAGTGTACAGATGAATGATTCATTATGTATGGGGTTGCAAGTGCGATGTGCATTATAAATTTATCATGTAAAGAAGACTTACATGACAAAAGCTGGAATCGTTTGCCTTCGCAAATCGAGATTCTTGCTTTAGAACAACCATACTATCATGAAGCCTTCCACTGCATAAAAATCACATTACGCTGTTAAAAACCCACTACAACCTTATGTTCAAGATCAGAACACAACAAATAGTTCACCTGCATGTCACAGGGAATCCATCTACATCTCGGGTTATAGAGTGGCCATCATCATTCAATGGACGAACATGCTGCAAGGAACAAGATGATAATTCAAAACTAGTTTTAAACATAGTGGAAACTGTAGATGAACATAAACAAGAAAGAGAGATGCTAAAAATAGCACAGATAAGTGTAAATTATAATTAGGTTAACCCAAACCTCGAACTTTATGCTTGTTGTGCTACTCCATTTGGAACTTGCAGGCTCATTCAGATCCATCCCAACTGATAGCTTAGACAAATTCACACCTCCACTACCCGAACGGGAGAAATTATCAACAGGGACACCATGGACCCCAATCTCAGGTGAAAGAGAGTGCTGCGAGTTAAAAAGCCTAGCATGAGGATTGGTTCCATGAAATTCTAATAAAATGTAAACGTTACTGCAAATATTGATTAGATAGGCAATGGCTTAAGTCCTTCAAGAAGCACCAGTCCTACGTGCAATGTGTAGAAGTATATAGCATAACATAACATATGACTTCATAAAGTACGACAACAAAAAATCTATCTATCCTAGACCTCTGTTATACTTTTTTAAAGTCATTGTTACATAAAATAAATATCACGTTACGCCCCATACAACTACATATTAAGGGGTAAAATCGGTCCTAATGACCAAAGACAATACCAGTAAACAAGGATAAAAGTACCTGAATTATGAAAGACTGCTGAGCTAGCCATTCGGGTCTTGGCCTTCTATAAGCTACTAAGACATTAGAATCATACAGCCCTTTATCCCAAGATACATCAAGCTTCTCGCTTCCACCAAATAAGTTTGGATGTTTGATGCAAAGACTACAACATAAAAGACATACATTTGGTCCATTTATGAAAACTGATTAACCACTTAAATGGGTACCTCTTCTCTCTCTCGGTTACTATTACATTTCTCATCAACCAAACAGGGAAAGTGCACATAGTGGAAATTCAAACTAAACCCATACTTCACAGACTAACCTTCCTACTATTAAAGACAGAGGGCTTCCATTGCTGCTCCTGTATTAAAGACAAAGCATTCAACCACACTATGAAATTTATGGGGTAAGTATAACAAAACAAAAAATTACTTATTAAGCATTTATAGTTTAAAAGACAAAAACCTGAGATGAGGAACCATCAAGGAAGCGCAAAGCTTATGAGTGAAATCGACATTAACATCAATCTTGGCTGTTGAAAAAAAAATAAAAAATAAAAAAAAAGACAAAAACAAAACAAAGAGCACACATTACCCTTTACATATTCAAGAACAACAATGGCAGAAAATTGAAGAAGCGACCACAAGACAACATTTTCCCAACAATCCTTTGCTATAAGAGGGAAAAAAATAAAGCTTCATGGGGTTTTCTGATAAGGATTTTCCCAAATGGATGAAGAAGAAAAAATTTGAGGAAACTGACCTTTACCAGCATGGATGCTCTTCTGAGCTCCCATCCCGTTAGCATAAACAGTGAATCAAAAACCATTAAAATAAATGGAAATTTAATAAATGGGCTAATGTTTGGAAGGAATAAGCTGAGAAAATGTCCAAGAAAAGAAGAGAAAAAGGGAAAGGAAAATGGTGAAAAACATAGGGCAGGCGTGGCGTTTCGTGTGCTGCGCAAAGAGTGTTTGTGTTACGGTCCCAACTGAGAGAAGAAGTTCTTTGCTTCCAACGTCTGTTATCCTTTTTTTGTTCTTTTTTTTCGCTTTTTTGGTGCTCCAAGTTACTTTTGCTTTTTTCTTTTTTCTTTTTTCTTTTTTTCTTTTTTTTCCGGTTCAATTCAACAGGCAAGCAACTCCCGCAAGAAAGAGAGTGACGAGTCCCATATTTTGACTTTTGATGGAAAGTCTCCCCCTACCGGGGATGCCATCTAGTGGCTTCTATTGCATCTCAGTGAGGATGCATGTGGTCTCTCCCACATCTAACTAAGGCCAATAAACAACAAAAATTATTACAAAAACAGCCCGAACTAATTAAAAACTACAAAAAGGCTCATTCTTCCGTTTACTTCGTTGATTCGAATTTTTAATTTGAATTAAAATGTAATTTTATGTGATAATTTTTTACTGTAGCAAAAAATAATTAGATGTGACTGTTTCTGAAAACTTTTTACTGTAACAAAACTTAAATTCTAAACTCAAATCCGTAAAATGAACAGACCTTTATTTATCAAAATACAATTTGTCACCGGTATTTTACATAATGACAAAAATATACTTCTTTTTACAAATTTATCATAAAACAAATCTTATTATTATTTTTTTTAAAAACGAATCTACTTGTTTTTAAACGATTGTACACATTCTACCCTCAATTGTACACATTTTCTTTTTTTCCTTTAAGAATAAGGATTCTTCTTTTGGAAATATTTTTTTCAATAAAGAGATATGATACTAATGTTTTTTGGCAACTTTATGGTCAAACCAAATATGAAACCAATAACATAAATTTCACACAATTTTTTCCCTAAAAGAATAAACTTTATAATACACAAATTAATTTTCAAACCCAAATTAATTTCACAATACGAAAGCAAATATCCAGATCCCGGCGAGGCAAAACGCAGATTCCAACGAGGCAAAACGCAGATTCTGGCCATCACGCCTGGAGGAGAAGCTCAGCGATTGCACCTGCAAATTAACATATCAAGCCCCGCAAATGCACTACAAATGACATTAATCAAAACTTCCCCAATCCAAAAACAAAAACAAGAATCAGAACACAAAGCTTGCAATTTGCAACTCTCAACCATATAAGGTGATCGCGCCCAATGGACCATCCGATGAGTTGACCTCGTCAAAGAATCGGCGTTTGCAAGTGATCCCACCCGGAGGAAAATGTCGACGCCTGCAGGTGACCGCGCCCGGAGGAGAAGCTAGGCGTCCGCAGGTGATCGCGACTGGAAGAGAAGCTCAGCATTCGCAGGAGATCGCGCCCGAAGGAGAAGATAGCTCGCGCGGCCGGAAGGGGTGTGCGACGGTTCCCGTAAATGATGCTCGGAAGTCAAAACGATGATGGGCGACGAGGAGCGGTGTCGTACTAAGCGGAGTTGTGGACGTCATCGAGATGGAGATGGCTGAAGGTGGAGGTGGCCGTCGCCGTCGTTAGTGCTCGAAGAAAGGGCTTGCAGCGGCCAGTGAGTAGCTGGGTTGATGATGGGGGCTTCTCAAACTCGGTAGCTGGGTTGATGTGGTGTTAGGGTTTATTTTTAGTAATGAAGGGCATAGATCAAAAGTTAAAAAGATTGATGGTTGAGATTTATTTAGGTCAAAACTAATATTTTGCACAATGTAAGGGTAATATTATAATTATTGAATTTGAAAATAATAAAGTAATCAAATGTGGTTGTATCTATTTTAGTTTCTATAGGCTGCACCATCTTCAGCCATTCGCTTTTAATTGAGTGAACGTTTGGTTGGAGGATTCAAACTATGTAATTCGAATCATTTTCAATTTATGTGAATTTTTTGTGAGAGAAAATACTGTAGTGAACCACGAATCATGATTCGAATCAGAGAACGAATCCCTCCACCAAACATCCCTTAATGATCTAGATTTTTCACCTTACCGGTAGCAACAACAGGGAAAAAGTACACCCCCTACAATAGAATCTCCATTTTTTTTATTTTAATTTCATAAATGACCTTAAATTTTGTTTCATATTTTAAGGAATTTTGAAAAGAGTGCACTTTATCTCTTAAAATATGAAAAGTGGTTTAAAACACTCTCCAAAATAATGTTATTTTATAAGTATCTTCTAATCATTATTTTTGTGTCAGCTTTTTTTCTATATTTTAAGAAATGAGGAAGCAAATTGATAGAAAATAATCATTTAGGGACAGGTTGACTTAAAAATTAATGGCTCGTTTAGTTCGTTCATTCGAGTTTTTAATTCGAGTTTAGATGTGACTTTATGTGAGAGTTTTTTTACTGTAACAAAAAAAAATATATGTAACTGTTTCTGAAAATTTTTTATTGTAGTAAAACTCAATCGGTAAAATAAACGTGGCCTAATAATTTTTAGAGGCATGGAGGGAGGGCAGAAATTCTCATAAAAAGGTTAAGTGAGATGAATACAAAATTTAAGGATAAAGTAAGGGTTTTAAAAATTAAAGGGATAAAATGATAAGGATTTTAAAGTAAAAAAGGCACAAATGAGAGTAATTTTTTTTTCATTTCACTGATTCGAGTTTTGTTACAGTAACAAATTATCAAAAATAATCACATTTAATTTTTTTACTACAATAAAAAATTCTCATATAAACTCACATCTTAACTCAAATTTAAAACTCGAATCAGCGAATTAAATATACATTTATTTGTTTGTCTTTTAGGCTCGTGACCTCTCAATCTCAAACTCAATACACAAAACAGAAAGATCAAATCATGGCACGTCATTATTGACCTCTGGACACTAGGGTTGTTCAAGATGATCAAAACCAACGCAGGTAAATCGTCAACGCCGTTGATCGGCGAAACCGAACCACAAAACATCTACAATTCAATCCTTGTTTTCAAAGACATTGCTTCGGTTGGTTAACTTGAATCAATCCTTTTTTTTTGGGAGAAAAAGAGAAATAGACCAAGACTTGAGATGAATTAAAATTAATAGGCCAATAGTTTACATAAGTTAATAAATAGGCCAAATTATTATTTTCGTCAATAACTTATCTGATTATGAACCATAACTTGATAAGTTATTGTCCATAATTATCTATAACTTATCTGATTATGAATCATAACTTGATAAGTTTATCCATAATTTATCTAGTTATGAACCATAACTTGACAAGTTATAGCCTATTAATTTTTATAACTAAAAATTAACCTATATACTTTCTTAAACTTTTTAAATTGAAATATTTTCTACTATTTCCTTTTGGGGGACTTAAAAGGCCTAAGAGCACCCGGCCACATGCACTCGGCTAGTCCCAAGCCCAAGTGCATTTGAACCAAGCCCACACACTCAGTTAGGCTCACACACTCAACACAAAAAAGAGAAAACCAAAAATACAATTATTTAAAGTATCACTATTTTATTTTTATTATTATAAATTTATCTTATACTATTAATAATTTGTAAATTATATTTTCATAACTTACAGATTATATTTCTATACTACAAATTATCTTTCATAACCTGTAAATTATTTTTTCATAACTTGTAAATTATCTTTCATAATTTACATATTATTTTTAATAGTGGCATAAAACTTATGTGCAATGGTATTAATAATAGAGTTACAAAAAATAATGGTTAAAATTAAAACTTTTTCAAAAAAATCCTATTCTATACAAAACCGTCATCTCCACCCACTTATATATGAGTGATGGGCCTCCCAAAGAGAACTAAAAAAAGTTTTTCGTCTATTACCAATTTGATTGATCAATAAATTAAGAATTTAGAGATTTAATTCTCAAGATTAGAAATACAGGGACATCGGTAATTATTCCTATTTGCTATAACTTTTCTATATTTATTTTTTAATTTTTCGTAATCCGAAAAATTACATTCTGATGGTTTTCATTTGATCAAATTAATAGATTTGTACCTTAATGTTTAGATAGTACTAAATCTTTCGACAGCTTATATTTTAAAAAAGTACCCTTTTAAGTACTCTGCGTCTGTTTTCTGGGACCGAAAATGACCTGAATAAAAACTCTAAATTAAAACTTTTTAAAAAAAATTTGTAGAACTACTAAAAAAAAAAAAGAAAAGAAGCCTTTTTTTGAAAGAATTTTTCTAGTGTTTTCTCTTTTTTAAAATACAAGTGTTCTATATTTATCAATCATCAAATTTATATTAATTTTTCAATTAGATTTGACTTTTAAATAGAAAATACTGATGTTCTAAAAAAACAGAGCACTAAAAAAAGTCTATTTTTCAATTTGGGATTTGAGAACTGGATTATTATTCGAACTCATAAACTATATCCGGTTTGTGTTGACTTGCTCTCATTTTTATGACTTCTTCGTCTTATAAGCCATTAATTTAATGCCTCTATCTATAATTTACAAAACAAAAAGACAAATAAAATACAAAAAAAACTAAAGGTTGGTTGACAAATCTACTTAAACCCATGATTTTAATTATATTACAGCATTTTTTTCTTACAAAACATTTAAATTCAAAAATTTCTCACTAATAACTCTCTTACAAAGTTACCGTCAATAAATTAGTATCACTGACTTGAACGTGTGAACCAAACAGGCCCTGAAATGTTGGATTTATTTTTTTTTTTTAAAGACAACATGTTGGATAGGAAGTGTTATAATCCCTCCGATTCCAAGATCCATCCTTGTTATGATCTTCCTAACAAGTGAGGCCAGCCAGTCATTTCCTTTGCAATTTGGAGCAAAAAAATGTGCAAATATACCTCAAATGCTTCACATATATACTCACACAAAAAGGGTCACCAAAAACAACCTTCACACTTTACCCGTTTCATATTTGCTCATAACATTACTACCTTTTTGCCCAAAAAGCACTGAAAATATACAATTATGTATCAAAAGAAATCAAACACAAACACCTTTCTCGCACTCATTTTCTTGTTAACTTGCACGACCAACATCATTCATGCAAAAGTTCACGTCCGAGTGGTAAACAGGCTGGGGGATGGGCAAAGCATGGCTCTTCACTGTCAGTCAAGAGACGACGATCTTGGGACTGTCGTTTTGGAAAATGAGCAAGAAATCGAGTGGAGCTTCTCGGTTAACTTCCTGGGGTCGACTCTATTCTATTGTGACGTGAGGTGGGGAAGCTTAAGCAGTTGGCATTCTTTTCATGCGTATGATGCAGATAGAGATTCTGGTAGGTGCCGATCTGAGTGTCGTTGGATGATCTCCAAGGAAGGATCGTTGTATGGCTATGATCAACAGTTTGGCAAATGGGTTTTGTTTCCTTTGAAAATGATCTGATTTTGCCAAATAATGGGAACAAATACATACATATATATATATATATATATATTATATATGTATATGCCATTGTTGAATTACTATTAGTTAATGTTTTATATTTGTTTGTCAAATTTAGGTTTTATCTTTGTCAAACGATCTGATAATAGCTAGGGCTGAGTTTGTGCTGTGTCTATTACCCCCATGTAATTAGGCCTCCTCCACTGGTACTTGGCTACTTGCTAGTTATGGAGTTTATTTCTTTATTTATTGATTTTTTCCTTTTCCCTCTTTGACTATATCTCATTATCGGTAAAAATATATATTTTATATATATATATATATATATATTTTTTAATCAAATGGAGAAACTATAGGGGTACCAATTATATAGTAGTTTGATTTATTACACTAGATAAACATGGTGAGAAATTTACTTAATTTGTATTATTATTCTTTCTATTAAAAATATTTTAATTCTTCTTATAAATGAAAATGTAGATAAGTTATTCACAAAAGAAAAAAAAAGGAGAAAAATACCCTCTTAAATTATACGTGTCTTATTTTTTACCTTTTACTCGTTATTAATATCTTTTTAATTAAATATTATGTTAGTTAAAAAGGTATTAATTAAAAATAAATGATAAAAATTTAGACTTATACACTTTTAAAGAAAATTCAACAAATTTTTATTTAATATGAGGGTTCAAATCAAGTAGTTTGAACATTTGAGTTTGAACCATATGGGTTTTAAATTATGAGGTTTGAATTTGGAGTTCAAAACTTGAATCTTTGACTTTCAACCATGTGTACTTCCAAAGGCACTACTTCACTCAACAACATCCGTTCACTTCACCGATTCGAGTTTAGAATTTGAGTTTTGTTATAGTAAAAAGTTCTCAGAAAGAGTCACATTTAACTTTTTTGCTTCAGTAAAAAGCTCTCACATAAAATCAGATCTCAACTCGAATTACAAACTCGAGTCAGCGAGGTGAACGCCCCAATGGATCCTCAAAATTTTAAGGAACATTTGTTTTGTTATAGCATGTTATGTAGTTCTCGTTCATTTCACCGATTTGAGTTTTCAGTTTTAGATTTTTACAGTAAAAAGTTCTCATAAAATGTTACATCTAACTTTTTTTGTTACAGTGAAAAACTCTCAGAAAATATCACATCTCAGTTTAAATTGAAAACTCAAATCCGCGAAGAACGATGCCGTAATGTGTTGGAGAAACTATATTGTACTAATTTTAAGGCTTCCTAGCCATATTTAATATTATACTACTTCAACAATGTTTCTTTTATTCACATATGCAATTAATTTCCTAAGTATGTTAAAGATTTTTTTAATTGTACTAATTTGCATGGATTGCACCAAATTTTTAATTAACAAACAAAAATTCCGTCAATGATAAATATCAACAGATCTTTTACAAACTTATGTTACAAACCCATAAAATTATGTATCATTTCTTACGACAACCAAATATCATATATCTTATCTATATATTAGCAAAACTTGCAAAAGTAATAGGTACATACATTTTCAATTAAATATTAAATATTATTTGTAAATTTGAAAACTTGAAGATTAGTATTATTGATGAAGGCTTTCGTTCCTTTTAAAAAATGCGCATGCTTTGTTCTCCCAATAAAACGTTTTAGTTGGAGATAAGTATATACTTAAATCAATGTTTATTTATAATTATCTCAAACTCCTGATTTTTTTATTTATTTTCATTTTCAAAGTATCACCTCAACCCAAAAAATTTTCAAAGAAGAAACGACTTTCATGCAAAACATGATTTAATACTCAAATTTACTATGCTCATGTTTGATTCGCTAGTATGAATTTTGTTAGTTTAAACTTTTTAATTTAAACAGAAAAATTTGTATTTAGCATGTGTGAAAAGTAGAATAGTGGACACTTTTTATTGTTCGAAAATGGTTTGAACAATTGAACTTGAGGGGAGTTAAACTCTAAATTGGGCCGTTTAATTCAATTTAAACAAAAAATATAATTCAAATTGCATACTTATTAAATATTAATTTAAATTGTATTCACTGTTTAAACTGAGTTGAATTAAATTAAGCTAGTGAAACAACATGACTACATTTTCCCTACAACTTGCCACACAAATTGCAAATTACAAATTTACATCTCCATATTATATACACTGACATTTCTAACCTCACTTCAGATGTTATATTCCAAAACAAGTCTTTTGTTGAATGACATTCCACTTACTTTACCCGTGGAATTGCATAAAAGCCCTAAAAAAAATTTAATAAAAATAAGATAACGTTTAATTCATAATTTAAAATCATAATTCTTATTTTTAATTTTTAATTTTTAAATTTTTTATAAGAAAAAAATATTATAATAAAACTAAAAATTATAATTTTAAATCAGATAAAATTCTTAAAATAAACGTCGCCTGAGCGAAATCAAAAAGCAAGACCAGCCGTCCAAAACCCTTGAAAAGGTTTCCAATTTGTATAAACCCACCCAGACCTTCTCTCCGCCATTGCAGTCGATTCAGAGCATCTAGAGAGAGAGAGAGAGAGAGAGAGAGAGAGAGAGAGAGAGAGAGAGAGAGAGAGATGGGGAAGAACGAGAAGACGGGGCTGGGAAGGGCTCTGGTAAAGCAGCACAACCAGATGATCCAGCAGTCCAAGGAAAAGGGCGGTTTCTACAGAAATCAGAACAAGCAGGTTCTCGAATCCTACACCGAAATCAGCGACATCGACGCTATCATCGAGAAATCCGACGCCGACGCCGACTTCGATGCCGATGCCGTCGCCGACCGACTCCTTTCCTTCAACTTCCCGACGCCTAGTGTTCCCATCTCTTTGTCAGTTCTATTTCAATCATTTTCCTCTTTTTCTTTCCTAATTTCATATTTTGTTGTGATTGTTGATTTGCTTTACAAAATGGGGAAAAATGGCACGGGAAAATTGATCCTAGGTTATATCTGAATTTAGGAATTTATATTTTTAGTTTTACAAGCTTATTTTATTTATTTATTTATTGCTTTTGCTAGTGGCTTGTTATATTTAGTTGTTAGGATTTAGTTTGATTTTTTTTTTCAATTTTTTTGGGTCAGTTAAGCTATTGTAGAATACTAAGAACTTTGTTTGGTAGGAGAGAAAAGTGGAAGAAGTGAGAGGGGTAAGAGGATTAGTGGAAGGATTTTGGGACCCGACTCATGGTCGTTTGGGAAAATAAAAAAGAAGAGGAAATGGAGGAAATGGATTGGGTTAATCGTTCTATGTAAAAAAGGATCAGAGGAGAGAATGAGTACTGAACACAAATAAGATAAAGTCGTGCCCTTCCACTCCATTTCTCGTACCGAACACGGTCTAAGGTTTTATAATATAGGCTAGCTGATCCCGATAATCATTCCGTTTTGTTGCTTTTATTTTGAGCCTAATGTTATTGAGCCGGCATTTTGCGTTATTAAACTTATGTTATGCCTGTTTCTGAGAGTAGGGATGCACGTTCTAGCACCAGCGAAATGACTCCCGAGGAAAGGAGGCAAAAACAAAAGATAGAGGAGGCATTACATGCTAGTAGTCTTCAAATTCCGCGTAGGTATGCTTGTTTCCTTTGTTCAGTTAAAGTCTATAATCATTTCTGCCGTTTGAGACTTTGAGTGCACAAGTTTTTCACTTTCCTCCGTAGGCCACCATGGAATGCTGCAATGTCCATGGAAGAGCTTGATGCAAATGAAAGACGGTCGTTCTTGACGTGGCGTCGAAACCTCGCAAGGTCAGGTCTATTACATTGATTTGTTATCTCTCGGTCCTGAAATACCTGCACATTCACTTATATAGATGTGGGAATTAGATTGATGTGGTGCTTGGATTTATATTTTTTCCTTTTACTTTCCATTAAATTGGATCATAGACATATTAGCTGTAAATCCTTTTGCATACCCCGATATGGTTTTATTTATTTTTTATTTTTTTATTTTTTGGGTTAATGTTAACTTTCACTTTGAAGCCTATGAGATTTTAGCTGTCTTGATGGCTTTGCCCAAACTTGCATGAATTATGTGTATGAGCCTGGTTGAAGCCTTTGATTAGGGAATATGATATTGCAATCCATGATTCGATTTACATTATTACTCATTTGGGTTCAATTTGTACCACTGTAGTATACTGGTATAAGATCTTTCATCACGTGCAAAAGTGAGGAAAAGACATATTGCTTTTTTATTCTGATGATGTTATCTGCAATTCAAGTAAAAAAGGAATGTGCACTATTGGGTTATCCTTGTTTGCTTTCTTTTTTTCCTACTATACTTTAGGGTTTGGATTACCATTACCATGCTTCTTTATTTTAAATTTTTAATCTTCAAATTTTGTTTTATTTTTTATTATTTTCATTTTGAAGTTCTACATTCCTTTTCTCATATTTTCATGTTGGGATATTTTCTTCACAGATTAGAGGAGAATGATATCCTAGTTCTTACTCCGTTTGAGAAGAATCTGGACATTTGGAGACAGCTTTGGCGCGTGGTGGAGCGGAGTGACTTGGTAGGATTTTATTGTTTTTTGATTACTTAATCTGGATAATTGTTACTTGGTTGTTCTGGCAATATTAGAATCATTGACACATTGATAATGGCTGGGAGTGTGCTGCATCTACTAAGTTGTAATGTTGATTTGTAATCCTTGTGCATATTTACGCATTCTTTATCTGTGTTTGTGTTGAAAAAATAAAGATTTAGTTTTTTCTTGTGCTTTGTGTTATAGCGTATGTAAACTTATCAAATTGGTGGTCTTTTCAGCTTGTGATGGTTGTTGACGCACGGAACCCTCTCTTTTATCGTTGCCCTGATCTTGAGGTAATTCATTTATTCTTCCCTTTCAGAAGTAATTCTCACTAGTCATGAGTAACCTTACCTAATAACGGGTATTCAAACATAATGACCTTTATAGAATTGGAAATGTGGCTAATCCTGAACGGCGTCATTGCTCAATATGAAAGACATTATGTCATTGACTTTGATGTCCCTTATGCTTGTACTGTTACCTTGTGTTTCAACAGTTTTTTTATTCTTTTGAAGGAAAGAAGAAAACCATTGCATGTTGTTGACTATGATGTCCCTTCCCTATATATTTAACATGTTATAGAGTATTTGATTGGCGAAGCTTAACCCTTTTGCTTCTCCGTAATGACTTATAATTGGAAAATTGTTGCCTTTTGGTGGTGATATTAGTTCTTCTTGGTGGGATTTCACACTTGGCTGTGGTTTTTGTTGTGCCCATGTACGTTCTGAATATTCAGCTCAACTGAAAGAACCAATCCCTCATCCCAAAAAAATTGGTGTTAGCTGTAAACATGGATTCTTTCTTAAAACTATTTGCATCTTTTAAATGTAGTTTAAATATACTCTGAATGAAGATAGATCAAAACTAACCATTTCTGCTTGCAAAATATACTTTGAATGAAAGAGTAAAATTCACTTCTTCCATTTGTGTGGGAGGATTATTACATACATCTGACTAGTCAATTCTGTGTCACTACAGGTTTATGCACAAGAGATCGATGAGCACAAAAGAACTATGCTTCTCATCAACAAGGCAGATCTTTTACCCTTTTCTGTAAGGTTAGTGTAGCTTCATCCTCTATCTCTGTTGTGGTTGATCTATTCTCTGTTGTTAACCCTCCCAATACTTTGTCTGCAGGGAGAAATGGGCAGAGTATTTTCGTCTCCATCAAATTCTCTTTGTGTTTTGGTCAGCTAAGGCTGCGACTGCAGCTTTAGAAGGGAAAAAGTTGAAGAACAGCCTGCAGGACTCAGATGATCCTGATACAAAACTATACGGAAGGGATGAGCTTTTGGCCCGTTTACAGTCCGAGGCAGAACAGATAGCCAAGATCAGGAGGCAATCGGGTTCAAGCAGCGTGGGCCAAACCAATGTTAATTCCCCCAGGGGAAGTGTTTCTGAACGTTCAGCTTCAAATAATGTGATCGTGGGATTTGTGGGGTATCCTAATGTTGGCAAAAGCTCAACCATTAATGCCTTGGTCGGCCAGAAACGCACAGGTGTTACATCTACACCAGGGAAGACCAAGCATTTCCAAACATTGATCATATCTGATGAGCTGACCCTTTGCGACTGTCCTGGATTAGTATTTCCATCATTTACAAGTTCTAGGTATGAGATGATTGCTTCAGGGGTACTGCCAATTGATCGGATGACTGAGCATCGCGAGGCTGTGCAAGTTGTAGCCAACCGAGTCCCTCGACATGTTATCGAAGATGTTTACAAAATTAAGCTACCAAAACCCAAACCTTATGAGCCACAGTCTCGGCCACCTCTGGCAATAGAGCTTTTGAGAACCTATTGTGCCTCTCGTGGGTATGTTGCCTCAAGTGGTTTGCCGGACGAAACAAGAGCTGCTCGCCAAATTTTGAAGGATTATATCGACGGTAAACTTCCACATTATCAGATGCCCCCGGGAATGCTCGACAGTGAAGATACAGTGGTGAATAGCTCGGTTGATACGCATGAGTCAGATTCATCCGATGTTGAAAATGCTCCGGCCGACGAAGACAAAAACCCGTCCAATATCGAGCATGTGCTGGATGATCTCAATTCGTTTGATATGGCTCACGGGCTTGCTTCCAAGAAAGCCACTGTTCAGAAGCCTACGCCTTCTCATAAACAACACAAGAAGCCTCAAAGGAAAAAGGATCGGTCATGGAGGGTTGGAAATGACGGGGGTGATGGAATGCCGGTTTTCAGAGTTTGACGCCTGTGAATACAGTTTCTGATTGAATAATATTTTCCTTAAATCAACTGGGAAGCAGTACTTGTCTGCTTGTTATTTTCCGATCCAAGGTGATCGTCAAAGTTCATTCTCTGCGACACCAACACGATCTCCAATATCAATGGAGGTTGAGGAGGAGGAAAAATAAACTATATTTTCAGTGTTCATCGGTTTGACGATGGTTTGCTCATTGTATATTTATTATTTTGCAAAAGGATAGTTTCATAGAATCAAAAGTAATCAACCACAATTTTGATTTTACACTATTTTATTAAAAACTATTTGTGGTTACTGGCATAGTTTAGTGGTAAATTCACATTCATGCTTATGATGTTATAGTCTCAAATCTGTTACTATCTGAAGTTCAAAGTCTTCATACGAGTAAAACAAAACATACTTTTTGGCCTCGTTCATTAACATTTCACTGATTTTGAGTTTTCAGTTTTAAGTTTTTATAGTAAAAAGTTCTCAGAAAATATTACATTTAATTTTTTTTAATACAGTAAAAAATTCTCATAAAATGTCACATTTCAGCTCGAATTAAAAATTTAAATCTGCGAAGTGATTGTCGGTCCTCACAATTAATGACGTTTTTTTGGCTGAAATCCAGAAGTGTGCCGATGAGGATTTACATGGGGGCTTAAGCTGTACTTTGGTAAAAATAAGATAAAATAGGAAGGAAAAAAATATGGACAACCTTGGTGAAGAAATGATGAGAAATGGGGATAATATTTCTACCATTATGTTTGGTATAGGTTCTTCTAGTTTTCTCTCTTTCCTCAATATTGAAAGATTAAAATTAGGATGATCTTAAGAATTTGAAATCCCTCACTTAGTGTCCTTTGGTAGTTTTGCTCATGTTTTTTCTCATGCCAAACTATTACAGATTCCAAAATCTTTCTACTAATCTTTTCACTCACTCTTTTACACTTTTTCCACTAACTACACTTTATGACAATGTTAAACATTTGAAATTAAAATCATTATAAAGTTTGCAGACTTGCCTTAAATCTGGCATCCAAATCAGTCAGGCATATGCAACCTTTTTCATATGCTCGTATAACATTATTTATATATTCGTGTACGCTTTAGTGTAATATTCAATAAACATAGATCAACACATGTAGTATTAAGTGTTATATGTAAACAAATTGAGCGTTATACACATAAGTACGATAATATAATGGCATACGAAAAAGTCATATTTGCCGGACTGTATGGCCGCTAGAGTTAAAAGACTGCCTAAAGTTTGCGTATTGTAAGTCTCATTCAGTTCGTTGATTTGAGTTTTTAATTTAAGTTGAAATGTAATTTTATGTGATAATTTTTTATTGTAGTAAAAAAAATTAAATGTAATTTTTTATAAAAAATTTTAAATGTTATAAAATTAAAATTAAAAACTCAAATCGGTTAAATAAAATAAGACCGTAATTTATCAATTTAGTTTTATGTCAGCGCACTTCTAAAAATTTTATCACTCAGTCGTAGCTACTTTTCATAATGGTCTGACATCATTAATTAAAATACGACATATTTTAATATTTTGTTTCGAATCCGGCGTTAATTATCTAAAAGTTTTCCTCCATAAGCACTAAAGATTATTTAATAAGAAAATAGGACCGGACATAGAAGTAGAAAAAGAAAGAGATATTTTGCTCAAAAATGAAAATTTAAAAGATAAAATATCTAAGATATAAAAAAAAAAATCCATTATAACACTGTAAGATTAATCATAATCTCACATAAAACTATTTAAGAATATTTAATATGTATTCAAAAGGTTCGGTCCTAGAATTCGACCTCGGATTCCTATAAAGGAAAGTTTTAGATAATTAACAGAAATAAGCAAATATAAACCCAGTTGGAGGACGCGCAACACTATTACATCCACAAATGCTTGTAAATCTTGACACATAATCACTAGACATCTTTTTTGACCGTGAGGGAAAGATTTTTCAAGACGCAACTCAAGGTGAAAATTTTTAAGATTTCTGATATGTTAGTAATAAATTAAATTGTTAGTGTGAATGTGCACATTCCTAACTTCCATGATGAATTCCATTATCTCCACTTGAATGCTGTTAACGGATCCGTTTAGTTCGTTGATTCGAGTTGAGAGGTGAGTTTTTTACTGTAATAAAAAAATTAGATGTGACTGTTTCTGAAAGCTTTTTACTGTAATAAAATTTAAATTCTAAACTCGAATCAGCGAACTAAACGTACCCTAAGTGTTTGGTATTTCATGACCTTCATAATCTCTCAATTAACACTCCAAAAGTGTCATTTTATTGGTGTAACCCATGCCTTTTGGCTTTATGTATGACCCTTATAAGGATGTATTTGTACAACAAGATGATGAATATTAAGAAAGTCTGCTTCTTTCTTTTGTCTCTACTCTATTTTATTTATACACATTTATTCTGTAACATGATTTTTTAATCGTAAAATTCAACATTACCAAAATTTGTCATTACATGGTTAAATTAATTACTAGTAATGATCCTTTACTTTATTAAAATGGTCATTGATTTGATCTTTTATTTGATTTATCGTTGTTGAAAGAAAAATTGGCTTTCACATTTACATTTGCATAATTTTATCCCTACACCATTTTCTCATCAAATTTTTTTCTTTTTTTTATTGCTATAAAACGTCTTTATTTTTTTTTTGTACGTACGTATATTCTGCTCTCATCTTACGAATGTATATTTGTTTACCTCAGAAAATAAATTTAATAGTTTGATAACCTTGGGAGGTTATTATATGAACGAGTTAAATACATGAGGATGTTAATACGCCTAGCAATTACGAAGGGGCGAATTCAATTTTAGTGGACGTTTGGTTCATAGATTCAAAATCATGATTCGGAACCATTCTCATTTTACGCATGTTTTTTGTAGAAGAAAAACACTGTAGAGAACTATAAATCATGATTTAGAATAAAAAATGAATATAGAAAATAAACATTCGTAATCACCATAGTATTTATTTGTTATTTATTTATGATAAAAAAAAAAACCTTTCTTTTGGTCTACATTTAAATTTCATACGTATGACATGTTTGTTGCTTCAGAACAAAGGAATAAATTAAATATTTCTCAAAGAATAAATTAAATTTCATACGTATGATATTTAAATCCATACACGCACGTATCCCATAGTTTTATATGTTTATGATTATAAAATTCAAGAGTACTACCCGCTCAAAAAAAAAAAATGTTTCTCAAAAAAAAATAAAAAATAAAAAAGGCGCAAACATATATATAGGCAACTCATGCCATGTGTAAATAAATCATAACATTTAGTTTGCATCAGAATAATGCTCAAGATGAACAAATCCATTTCTGCAAACAATTTTTAAGCTATAATGCTCAAGCCGACATGTGCATGTCATGGGAGTGACATGTTAGGTTCATGCAATAATTCAACGCACTAAATATACAAAATCGCACAGAAAGATATACAAGTAGCCAGGCACCATATAAATAAAAACATGTAGTATACATACCATCCAAAAAAAATATATATATAGTAAAAATATATGGGACGCGTTTGGAACTCGTTTTAAAATGATTATATTTTTTGTATGAAAATAGAAATGAAAACGTTTTCAATCTCAGGTAGAAATTATTTTTAAAAATGCGTTCGGTAATTTTATCAAGAGATTGTTTTCAGTATAAGAAAAAACGGAAACTCTGTTCGGTTATACAATTTGAAAACATCTAATAGTATTTTAAATAATATATTAAATAAGAAAATAAAAATATTTATTTCTTATATATGTAAAGAAATAACCCATAGAGTAATTATGTATATATATGTATATATATCTCTCTCTGCTCGAGAGAGGAAAAAACGAAAATAAGAAATGAAAAACGAATAAAAGTAGTTTTTCATTTCTCTCACATTTTACATGAAACCAAAAAATTATTTTTATTTTCATTTTTTATCTTTGGTTGCTCCAAACACTATATTCTCTTCATTTTCATTTTTTTCTCGAAAAATGTGAAACGTTTTTGAAATCAATTCCAAACACGCTGATGGCATCGCTACAATTCTATTTTTATCATCACACATATAAGTGAGAAATCTAACACTGAAAAATTTAATTTTTCCCAGACTATTATTATATCTTTTCAACATCAGTATTCTGTTAAATAATTATCATGTTATACCTCACACTTTTATATGTTTCAGTATCTTTTTAACGTCAGTGTTCTGTTAAATAATTATCATGTTATACTTCATACTTTTATATGTTTCAAAGAAGTATGATATTCACAGGAGGTCTATAATATCTATATAGATGAGAATTAAGTCTACGTTGACATAATTGAGTTTAATGATTTTTTTTAAAGGGGGTCAAAAGAAAAAAAAAAATTATGAGATTATATTTTAGTTTTTTAGATTTTTTTAAAACCACTATAGTTTTTTTTTTTTCCTTCTTCTTTTTATACTTATATTCTAGTGAAATCACAGAACAACATTGTATAATCTCCTTGAAAAATAAAAATAAAAAATTGTATGATCTTAGATATCTAGATACAAGAAATCCCACTATATAAGCAAACACCAAAGCATAAAAATTAAATAGCTAGACTCCCGACCTTTTTTTTTTTTTTACTAGTTATTGATTATTTATAATTTAGCCAAAAAGAACTTTTTATTTCCATAACTCGCAGTCCTATTTGTGGATATTATTTGTAGCATTCTAAATAACTATTAGTTTTATTTTCCTTGTTTTATACGCCCTTCATATAAATTTATACTGCTATATAAGTACTAATGAATCTCATTGAAGCATTCTGTTAATTTCTGTATAGCTATTTGTGCACACAACATTTTTAGTTTCACTTTCAAAGCAAAAATATCATGGGTATCAAATACTATGTTATTATATTTTTTAAGTGATGAAAACGTCTACGTGCGATCAATATTTATTTTATTTATTAAAATTAATATTAAGATCAGTTGTGCAATTTACATATGATAAAAAAAACATAGTTTTTTTATTAATCTTAAATTTACATATTAATTAATAAATGCTAGCAGAATTAATATATATATATATATATATATATATAGTTTTCTTTGCATTCATTGAATTTCTTTATAGATTACCTTTCATTCTAATGTCAAATCTTATTTCGCTCCAAATTGTAGAAGTCATGGGAAGACTCAGGGCTGTTCGGCTGGGGTGTTTTTGAGTAAAAAATTTAAAAAAAGTAACTCGAGTTATAACTTTATTTGAGTTCATGTTCTTTTAAGTTTAAACTCGAGTTCAAGTTTTCCCTTCA